ACTCTCTACAGCGCTGCTCTCCAGAAGGTCAGTCCCCAGCCTGCACTGGTGTCTGGGATTATTCCTGCCCAAGTGCAGGACCCTGCACTTGCCCTTGTTTAGCTTCATGAAGTTTCTCACCATCCAGTTGTCCAGTCTGCTCAGGATGGCAGCACAGCCCTCAGGGCTATCAGCTGCTCCTCCCAATTTGGTATCATCAGCAAACTTGCTGAGGGGCCGCTCCGTCCCTTGATCTAGGTCATTAATGAACAAGTTGAACATGACTGGATCGAGGACTGACCCCTGGGGGACACGGCTAACTACAGGCCTCCAACCGGATTCAGTGACACTGATTACCACCCTCTGAGCTCTGCCATGCAGCCAGTTCTCAATCCACCTCACTGTCCACTCATCTATCCCACAGCTCCGGAGCTTGACCAGGAGGATGCTGTGAGGGACAGTGTCAAAAGCCTGGCTGAAGTCCAGATAGACCACATCCACCACCCTGCCCTCATCTATCCAGCCAGTCACTCCATCATAGAAGGCTATCAGGTTAGTCAAGCATGAATTCCCCTTGCTGAATCCATGCTGACTATTCCTTAGCACCTTCTTCTCCTTCAAGTGTCTGGAGACAACATCCAGGATGAGCTGTTCCATCACTTTTCCAGGGTTGGAGGTGAGGCTCATCTGTAGTTGCCCAGGTCCTCCTTCTTGCCTTTTTTGAAGACTAGTGTGACATTGGCTTTCTTTCAGTCCTCTGACACCTCCCCTGTTCTCCACAACCTTTCGAAGATGATGGCGAGCAGCTTAGCTATAACATCTGTCAATTCACACATCCCTCCTGGGTGCACCCCATCAAGGCCCATGGATTTGTGGGTGTTGAATTTCCTTAGCTGTTCTCTGACCCAATCTTGCTCTACCCAGGGCAAGTCTTCCTCTCTCCATCTCTCTTCTCCTGTCCCTAGGGCCTGAGATTCCAGAGGGCTGCCCTTGGTAAACACCAAAGCAAAGGCGTCATTCAGCAACTCGGCTTTCTCTGTGTTTTTTGTAACCAGGGTACCCACCCCATTCACCAGTGGACCCATGTTTTCTCTGACCTTCTTTTTGTTGTTAATATATTAGAAATTCTTTTTGGTATTTTTAACATCCCTTGCCAGATTACGTTCCACGTATTACTCAAGAGCTCTGCTTTTTTACTTTTCCTCCTTTCCTATGGCATGGATGGTTTGAAAAAAGTGATTTTTTAAAATATGCTATAAGACTTATAGAGGGAGTGAAATCCCGGTTTTGCTGTATAGCATGTAATAGTCTCTCAGTGTTTAAACATATTTATCTGCAGAATAAAAATAAAACCTCTCTCAGAGGATTTATCCTTGCTTATAAAATGATTTGAGCATTTGGGATCTAGGAAGTACCAACAAGCATTGCTGTAATTACTACCAAAATTTTCTACCTGATTCCTGTTATTTTTCTTTATCTTTTCTGCTTCAACATCTATATTTTGCCTAGTTGGTTGCCAGATTCCTTTTTATTCAATATTTTGTGAGAAATTTATGGTTTATTTTCCATAGTTGCCCACAAAAGTTTCCAGTGTTAACTACTGGATATGTGCCCCTGGAGAATATTATTTCAATGTTAATTTCTGAATTACTATTCCTATTTAATTTTTATAATACTTGTATCTGTGCTGCCTCTAATTTAACTTTACTTCAGTGGCCAGTTTTGCATAAGGTCAATAGCATCCCCTGCTGTATCTAGCAAAAACAGTCAAGCACTATACTCTTCAATCTGTGATTACCAAACTGCTGTGAGTTAACAGAAAATGGAACTTCTCAAAGATTTGTGGGCTTTTTGCTTGAATTCTTCTGCCAGAAATCATCCAAATCATACATGCCACAGATAATTTTGTGAATAGAATTCACATGGAAACATGTAACACCCTGAAGGTTATAAGTTTTTGAAAAAAAATCAGCTTGCACTATAGACCAGTCTTAGGAGAAAGCACTGAGAAGAATTCTCATGATTAAGCCATTTTCTCTTAACCTCAGACATGAAATAGGGGAAAAATAGTTTTTAAAAACATTTTACTTTTTTCACAATTAACTTGTTGCTGTTTAGTAAGATGGAACTGGATGTCTAAATGTTTACAAGAATATTCTATTTTAAGGGTGAATACTTAAAATATTGTCAGGATGCCGCAATATAAAATAAAAGCACAGCTTTCTGATACATATATATTTTTAGAGAGATATTAAAATTCTATCTTGGAAAGACATTGTCTGAAGTTATAATGATCAACTACTCAGAAACTGTATTCAGAGCAAATCTGTAGGAGCTATTCTGTAGGAAATGTTCATAGTTCCCTGAAAATGTCAGTTACTCAGTCATCCTTAAATATGTGGTGCAAGACACTTTTATAAGATGAGGAAAGCTACATATGCTCAGCAGTATGGGCTGTATTCCTAAATAGATTTGGATTGTTCAGAATGAAAAAAAAAAAATACTGAAGGTGATATATTATGAAGTCCCTGAAACAACAAAGAACACAACATGAGCATGGAACAATTTTTATTTACTCTTCCCACAGCAGCAGAACTGGAGGTGGGGCATCCATCAAAGCTCTGATGGAACAATTTAAGGAGGAAAAACTTGAATGTATTACTAAATTGTGCAGCTCTGCTATAGTAGAGCATCAAAGCCTAAAATGGAAAAAAAAAGCAGAAAAAAAAAAAGGAAAGAAGAAAGACAGAGAGATAGAAAAGATTATTTTGATTTGCCTCTTTAAAGAGATTGATTGGGACAAAACACTGAAGGAAAAAAACCGCGCCGGTCGCCCAACCATGCTGAGCCCAACGCCCCCATCGGCCGAGCCGTTGGGCCGAGCCGTTGGGCCACGCGCCGTTCGAACAAAAGGCGGGAACAGCCCTCAGCCGCCTCCGGAAGTGAGTCGCGGGGGGAAGGGGCGGAGCCCGGCGGGCTTGGCGGCCGCCGCCATTTTGTTGGCGGCGGGGTGCGCGGAAGTGGCAGCCAGCGAAGCGGGCAGGGAGGGAAGGGAAGGGAAGGGGAGCGCAGCGCAGGGCTTCTCCCCGACTAGGGCGGAGCGCGGCCGGGCGGCGGTGACCCGGTATGTCGGCCTTCTCGGAGACGGCGCTGGAGCGGAAGCTGTCGGAGCTCAGCAACTCGCAGCAGAGCGTGCAGACGCTGAGCCTCTGGCTCATCCACCACCGCAAGCACTCGGCGCTCATCGTCAGCGTGTGGGAGCGGGAGCTGCGCAAAGGTAAGGCCCCCGCCTGGCTGCGGGGCCCTTCCCGCCCACGGCTGCCCGCCGGGGCCTTCCCGGGAGCGGGCGGGCGAGCGGGGGCACCCTCGGCTCGGCCCCCGCGCTGTGCGGGCCCGGAGAGGTCCCCGGGGCGGGGAAAGGGGGCGGGCCGAGCGCGGAGCTGCCAAGGCCAGTAACCAGCCGCGGTTTCTCGATGGCCCTGGCGTTGGGAGGCGCTTCTCCTGCCTCTGCTTTCTCCCCTCCCCTTACTGTCTGCTTCCTTCCTCCCTGCCTTTCTCACACCATTCCAGAGATGTTTCTGAGGATGCTACTTTCAGTTTAGTCGCTTCTCAGCGGCAGGAAGGAGAGAGGGCAAAGCGAAGGGGAAAGAAAACTGCAAATTTACAATCATGGTAGTTTATCTACTTGCAGCTTAATCATTTTCATACATTATCTTATGATATGCAACGATGTCGCCTATAAAATAGACTCTGTTGGCTAATATGGTGGCTTTGTCCACTTGCCCTAACAATTATTCTCATAGGAAGATGGGAATACTTAAAGGAGTGAGTGATTGCTATGTCCAAGAGATTTTTTTTTTTTCTGTTTTTGCATGTGAGCTAATACTGATGTTGGCAATATACACATGATTTTGTTCTTAAGTGTAATTAGTATTTGATGTTGTTGAATGTACAGACCTAAATTTCTCTATGACTTTCCTTTTAACAGGAAGGAAGGAACTAGCAATTGCAGAAGGTTTTTCAGGCAGTGAAAAGCATACATGGCATGTAAAACTTTACTCTTCTGGAAGTAAAATCTTAACTCATTGTGGGGACGGGATGGGAGGGAGGAGAGGGAGAGACTTCCTTGAGCTCTTCCGTGGTCTAGAAAATGTTACCACCTTCCAGTAGCTAGTTTTCTATGCGCAAGAATATTTCAGTCTTTAATGGCAGAAGTAGAGGGCAAGATTTTCAAGTGGAGGGAAAAGTGGAGCTAAGCTATCCATGAAAAAGGAGCAACTCCCTTAATTTTAAGTAAATAAGAGTAGAATTTGACCTGCGGGGATGGTGCGTATATTAGTATGCTAATGGAATATGGAGCAGGATCATAATTACTTCTGGGTTAGAGGGCATAAGTTCATAGAAAAAGGATTGAACCACTGTAGAAAAAAAAAATCCTTGAATAACAAACAGTACAAAACATCGCAGTATACTGTGGAAACAGGTTCTCAGAGTAGATATTCATAAATACTGTATTTCTAATATATTTGTATGGAATGCTTTTTTTTGAACTTTCAAATCTGAGGCATATTTCTCTTTGGAAAAAGGAATGACACATTGCTGAATATTTTAATACATAAATTAAATGATTTGAATATATTTTCTAAAGAAATGTAGATATGATGGTTTGTTTCATAAGATTAAATAAAAATATTTAACTATATGGCTGTTGCCGGATTTTTTTTTTCTTGTTTCATATGCAGATGGAAAAAGTATTCATTTGCTGTCAGAACACTTCATGTTCCTGGGTCTTCTGAGTAAAGAACTGCAAATTTTCAGTGTTCTCCGTGATGAGTGCTCAGTCAATTATGTGGTTGTCTTGAATTATATACACAACACCAGTTCATAATAAAAATGTCAACATTCAGGTTCATCATTAGAATCATCATTAGCATAACTTTCCTGTTTTACTATTTGAAATGAAATGTCAGAAATCTGAGCTGAATTTAGAACAGATATCAAGAGGCAAGAATTAAGCTTTTCTCAGGATCTGATGCATATTCTTTGCTTTTTCTCAGCTTTCACTGAGACAGTACTGTCCTGGAATTGAAAATTGAATTATACCCTTCCAGGTCTTATTTTCTTTGATTGTATCACCTTTTTGTTGTTGCTCCCCTTGTTCAAACCTTTTTTCTACCCTACCTCTTTCAAGCTTATGGAAGATTTGGCTAAAATATTACATAACTGACTGAGTTGAACACTGTTGTGAGACTAAATTTTTTTTTATGCTTTCACTTTTGATAAAAGACTCTTTTTGTGTTTAGATCAGATTGTATAGACTTTTCTTAAGATAACTTTAGCTATTTATGAAACAAGCTTAAGATCAATTTTGCCATGCTTCTAAAAATTTGTTTCTGATTCTTTGTCTTCTGAAAAGAATGTCTCTATCATGCTGAAATAGAGTGCAAGAAACAGCACTTCAGCTGTACTTGTTGGGCAACGTAAAATCTTGGCTAGATCTGTTTATTTGGCTTATTTGCAGTGTTCAGGTTTCATAGTAGAGTATCTCCACAAATCATTGGGTCTTTATGACCTAATCTAAAATGAGCTGAGCTTTCATGGATTCACTTGGTGCATTCTTGTACAGCACAAACTTAGAATGGGAAAAGCTTTCATGTTTTTGTCATGAGTTATGTAATATTGGATTTGTCTTGCTGAATTCTAGTTGAATAGAATAGTTGATTGAAAGAGTTGATGTAACTGTGACTAAAAAGTCATATACAAGTATGCTTTTCATAATACTGCTTTAACTTTTGTTTTTAAGTTTGTAAAAACACACATGTCTAGTGTCATTCTTAAAATTGCCAAAACTTTGAGGAAAGCTATTATGTATTCCAGAAGTGATAGTTTAGCAAAAGTACTGATTAATCTGTATTGTCAAGAGACTTAGTAACCCTACAGCAATATATTAATAAAGGACGTCTTCATGAAACTGCAGGCTCTAAAGAAATTGTGTGAGGAGTTGTATGCTATATGCGTCTCAGTGTCACTCAGTCACTGTATGCTCAGTGACTGAGTGTGCAGGCAAGAGTTATTTTCAAGTGACCTGAAATATTTGCTAGTGCAATGTTTATTGCTATGATTAATAGAGAATATCTGTAGTTCATTCACCTTTTGTTCAGTGATCTTTCAGAATGCCCTCAAAAATGATAATTAGCATTTAACTTTTGAGTGTTCTGATACAAAGCTAGTGCTGGTAGGAAGAAGAGTCAGCATGAGATCACCCCTTTAGGCAGTAGCCTGTGTTAACTGTCTTAAGTTGATCGTGAAACTGTGTGCTCCTGAATATCATAGTTGACTTATGGAATAAATAGTTGGTGAGGAGGCAACTCTATTGTAAATACGATACTGATACTAGCATATGTCATAAAGTTTGGATTATTATTCTATAAAAGTATGTTTTGGTAACTTTATATGGTAAGTTTTTGGTAACTTTGTAATAACTTTAGCTTTGAAGTACCTTGTGGTTCTTCAAATTTTTGATAATATTGATGTGTAATAATTTTACAGAGGCCTTTTGAGTGCAAGTGAATGGAGAGTTAGTAAAGGCCTGTAATGTGCGCACTGAGGAAAATGATAGTGCTTAAGCTAGGTTACAGATGTATGAAATACGGAGTTCACACAACGTTAGGTATTTGCCAAGTAAGCTTGGCAACTATTAAGTAATAGTTTGAGTAATAAGCAATTGAGTAATTAAGTAATTAATAATTGAAAATAATTAATAATTGAATAATTAAGTAATAGTCTCAGGTTTGAGACTACATTTGAAAGTTGTTACTCCAGTGTTCCATCAACATCCTTGGGACACTTGGCATGGTTTTTTCCTGCCATGAAAAAGAATTTTTACTGATCATAAAGTTATTTTACTCAGTGGGGGCATAGTGCCTTTGATTAATCTGACAGACTTGAGAGAATAAATGAGTTTTGCCAATCTTTTAAGTAAAAGAAACAAAAATATGGCTTACTGATTTCACTGGTTAGTAGGTCAGTAAGGTGGGAGGTGCCTTGTTATCTTCCTGCTTATCTGTGTGAATCTTTTATATGGAAAAAAGGGTTCAGGGAAAAAAAAGACAGAACTTAAGGTAAATGTTATTTGTTGTACTGAATTTTAAAAAGCATATCTACTGTATAGGCTTACAAAATGATGTCATCATGAACATGATCATGGAATTTATAAGAGGCTTTCACTTGAAACAGCTGCATTTGATATTTAATCCAACTTTTTTTTGTGAAGTGTTTTGCTGTTAGTGCTGAAAGAGTGTGGGGTGTATGAATTGATATACCATATGGTTGTGTCCTGATACTAGTACCTGACTGGATCTTGTCATTCTGGTTCTGAACGTATAAGGAAATACCCTTAGGGAAAATAGGGAAAACCCACTGAATTTAAACCTGCTGTTACTGATTGGCATCTAGAGTGTACTAGGACAGGTGAAGAATGGAATTGCTCTAATTGGCGTGTTCGGTTGTTTCAGGATGCCTTAAGTGCTTTGGGAAGCTTGTGCAGAATAACAGCATTGAAAGGTTTCCAGTTGTATTGGAAAGGTTTATATTCAACTTTTTCATTTCTCTGCACTAGTTACGTGCTGGTGACTTCATTGCTAGCAATGTCTGAATGCTGTTTGCTTTGATTATTTGACTCCAAAGTCAAGATATCTAGACCCTCTTAACATAAATTCATAGAATCAAATAGAATCATAAAATAGAATGGTTAAGGTTGGAAGGGACCTCTAGAGATTATCTAGTCTAACCACCCTGCTTCAGCAGGGACAGCTGGAGTGTGTGGCACACACACTTGCATCCTGGTGGGTTTTGAAGAATTCCAGAGAAGGATATTCCACAGCTTCTCTGGGCAACCTGTTCCAGGGCTTTGTCAGCCTCACAAAAGAAAGTTCTAAAGAACTAAAGAAGTTCTTCCTCACATGGAGATGGAACTTCCTGTGTTTTGTCTGGTGCCTATTACCCCTTGTCCTGTCATTGGCCACCACTGAGAGGAGTTTGGTCCCGTCCTCCCCTCAGGTACTTAGACGTATTGATTAGATCTCCTTTTGGTCTTCTCTTTGCTAGGCTGAACAGGCCCAGTGTGCTTAGTCTTTCATCATAAGATAGAAATTCTGTGGGTGGTTTTTGTTCTACTACTTTCCCCTCTTTCAAATGCAAACAGGGCAGTTTTCAAGCCTTGATGAATTTCTCTTGGGAAGTTAGGTGACTGAGGCAGTACTGAGCACTTGGCCTAACTTTTCATTAAAACACTTAATAAATTTTATTATTTTTTAAAGTGTTTGTTGCACAACATGCTTCTGTTGGATTATCATCTATGAATCACCCATTATCGATGCTAGCTTCTCAAGTTTTTCCTCTAAGATACACTTTAAAGTCACCTCTTGAGAAATGCTACACTTAAGAGCTAATCTGAGTTTTTATATAATTTAATGTGAGGGGTGAGTGATCCTGCAGTTGAGTTTCAGTGAGGCTTGAGTTTAGAAAAGACAAGTGGGGTTTTGTGTAATGGAAAACGTGGAAACTTGCCCGGTATATGCAAAGATGGCATGCAGCTTCTCATGCCAAGATTTGGAGCACGTTATGACACAAGAAATGTTGCAGGACTTTTGGGAGACATACCGTTATCTTAGTACTGTGGCATGTACATAGACTCATGTACTCTTAAAATGATTAAGCTCAAACTCTGAATCCAAATTAGAGCACTTCAGTGAAAAACAAATTAGAAAATGCTGGGAGAGATTGCTCTAAAACCTAGTAAAAGACTCTATCTGCTGCCATTTTGTGGTTTAGTGCAATTCACTGATGAAGCTTTTAAACCTACTGATACCCATTTTCTCTAAACTTATTTTAAAACTGTATTTTCCTTCAAGATCATTTGACATAGCAGGGATGGCCTATAGACGGTTAAAACCTGAGCTGGATCAATTCATTTGCAGTGGGGTACAAATGAAATCCCTCCTAGTGTTCACATTTTATTTTTCTCCTGAAGGTGTAGGATAACAAATCTCTCTCATATCTAGGGAAAAGATGGTGAACAGCATAAAACAAATTTGTTTTTCTAAGTATCCTAGGAAAAGCTGAATTTCTGATATCATGCAGTTAAGCTTTTTAAATAATGAAGCCCAAAGGCGAATGTGGGTAAACTGGCTTTGCAAGCTAACATCTATGAAAATAGTGTACCTGCCTTACCTGGTGAAGTGTTGCCCAGGTTTGCTTGAACTGGACTGAAATTGTAAGTGTAACTTGTAGTGTTAATTAATTTAATTTTAAATGTAACTCTCAGGAGTTACAGTTCTCCTTTACAGGAATGGCAGCATATCTGTAGGATTCAAGGAAGGAGAATACCCTAGCCAAATTAACCAATGGACATTCCTGAAGGGTGTAGATTTCCAAAAGCCTAAGACTTGACAATGAACATGCCAAGTCTCTAGAGGAGATAGCTGATTATACCAGTTGAAAATGAAATACAGTGAATTCCTATGCAGTAGTCCCTGTCATTTCAATGTGTCAGACTATTTTTGAAAACTTCTGTGGCTAGATGACAAAAGCAGTCTCCTTGTGGGTGCTGTTAAATAGTCAGCTTCATTATGAAGGCTATTAAGAATCATCTATATAAAGTAGCTCTTGTCACAGGTAGTACAACTGATGTCTTAAATTCAGAATTCGGTGCTTCTGGGAGCTTTGTGCTTCAGTAAGTTGGAAATCTAACTAAATTTTGATTGTACTTGACCATGTTTTGGATAATGGGAAATATAACTGAAACAAGCAGGAAAACATATACACAGCACAGAACTTCGGAGAGCGTGAGTTTGACATGGGTCTATCTGAGGTTTGTATGTGCAGCTGGAGTGCTAGTGCAGCAGTGATGTTGTGGGCTCTCAGCACTGCACACTAGCAGTCTGTGCCTTTCAGATCCTTTCTTGACCAAAGATCTTATCTGTGTCTTTTTTTGACAAGAACAGCTTTTCTCTAATAGCACGAGGTACTCTTCTGTTATTAAAGTACTCTTATTGTTTGATCCATCTCTGAAGAATATCGAAGCCCAGAACCAAAAAGTGTTGCTACTGCTAAAGAGAAGTGCTTTAAAGAAGTTGCAGAACAGCTGTGGTCTGGGATTTAATTTTGGATTTCAAACCACAGTAATTAATTTGTAGACATGATTTGTTTGGGATTGATCACTTCAGTTGTCAACCTCCGTTGCTAAATATTCATTCAAGTATTGAAGCCTTGTGTGCAAGGCAGAGCTACAGTAATCAGTATATAATTCCTGAAGATACATGGAAGAACACTTTGTAAGATTAGGCATAATTTTGTCTTTGGAATTTTGTGCTATATATTCTTACAGCATAAATGGAATTTTGGCTCACAATTTTCTTGACAAACATAGCAATAGAATGTTAGTTAAATTTCAGACCAAAACATTTGGTAGTTTAACAATGTAAGGTTTTTCTTTCCATTAATTGTAGCTTTATTTTAATTGAGTAGCTGCAGGAAAACAAATATAATAGTAAACAAGCTTCTGAGTTTTAGCATTCCTCCAAACATGATATTGATCACTAATATAGTGAGAGACAGTAAACTTTCTGAGCATCAGCTTCACTTGACTTTGACATCTGCTGTCTTTATACAATTGGATAATTTGATTACTGAAAATAGGAAAGCAGGTAAAAATTGGAGCAAGGAACTTGAGGCTTGTCATCACTGAGAACTAAATCATATATTTTTTTCTGGCAGTTGTCAAATGAGAACCTAAGATACATGTGATCCAGAGGGCTGTGATACCTAATTTGGTTTGGATCCCTAACTCTGTGTTCCTTTAAGAAATGTAGGAGATAAAAGGATAGGTGGAGGTAGCTTTAGTAATAGCTGCTTAGTGTTCCAACAGGCATGAAATGGCGTGCTTTCTCTAAGATCCCCTGTTTGAATTCTAGCAGCCGCAAATTCAAGACTTTGTTTATTAGAATTCTGAATTACCTAGAACATATGGATATTGTCATGTTTTTATTTTCTTTAACACAGAAATACGTATGTGTATGTACATAGTATGTGTAACACTTTACATTTTTACAAATTCTAGTTTCAGAGTGTTGAATCATAACTAAGCCAAATGGCTTTACTCAGGTCAGATTCTGACCTGAGTAAATCAACATCTTGGGTTTGTTCATGTAGTGACTTGACTGATAGGAGGGAAACTTTAATTGAAACACTTTGTTCAGCAGTTGCAATTGAAGGGAAACTTTAATAGATTTGTTCAGCAGTTGCAATCTAGTTTTTTTGCCGTTTGTTAACTCCTCTTGAATGGATTCATACCTTTTTACTATTAATAGAGCATATTTTCATTTAATCCAGATCTCTGAAATTGTTGGATGTGTCTGTCCAAGAGAATGGTATTTAATAGTCCAAGCAGATGTTTTTCAAAGGAGTCTTTCTGTTGCACACAGTTTACTTGGAAACCCTCCCATGGAGTGAAAGTATCAACAATTAAGTTTTGTTTTTGTAAGGATGGTTCTCCTGTATGCTTGAGAGTTTGGAGAAGAATTTATTGAAGTTAAATTGTGTTAGGAACTGCACTGAAGTTTAAAAGCAAATGCTAGATTGGCTGTATTAAATCCCTTGAAAAGACCAAAAAAAGACTGAAAGCACTAAACTCCTTGTCTTGAGAAACTTGTTTTGTGAAGTGCTAGTGCACATGCTGAGATTGGCGGAGGGGTGGAAGGTGAAGTAACAGAAGTTGAGTTTCCCCAGATAATGCAAAAGTATATTTCATTAGTAGGAGCTGCAACTCTGAGAAGGCTGTTGACTAATGAAGATGGTGTGGCAAAATGAAAATGGGAACAAGAAATGTATTTTTGAAAGCAATGTAAAGTTGGAAGCTTGTGTTCTATTGCAAGTTAATAGAGTGAGGGTAAAATGCTTAAGATGCTTGAGAAGGAGTTACACCACAGCAGCCTGAAAGTGATTTTTGAAAAGATTGCCTTGAGGTTATAGCTGCAGGCTCATACATGTTTTGTTAGGAGGCAAGGCAGGAGACTATCATTAATGTCTACAAGTCATTTGGAGAGGTTGAGTTAGGATATTGACTGTTTGGTCTTTGCAAGTAGAAAAATGCAGGATGGCTATGAAAGATGAGGGGAGTGAAACTTAGAATGAGCTGGTTTTTTTTTGATTGGTTGGTTTTGTTTGTTTGTTTTTCTTCACATGAGTGATAGACTGATAAAACTCATAGGACTCTTTTAAGTTTTATGCAGGTGGAAAGGCAAGCACAGCTAATTAGAAGAAATCCATGAAGGCTGTCAATGAATAAATCAGGCTATGGGGGAAAAAAAACCCATGAAAATAGTTGGGGGTTGAAGAATACTTTGGCAGGTAGACTGTTGTTTTCTTCTCTTCACCTTTGGTGATGGAAGAAATGTGAACCTGGAAGAATCTGAGCCAAGTGTTGCAACAGAGAAAACAAAGTGTGGCTGAACTCTTTGCAGATTTACATATTTTTATATATATATATAATTTTAAAAATTTATAAATTTATGTATAAAACAATATAAATATATATAAAATGTATATACACACAATTAAAGTGAAATATAAAAAAATGTCTTTAATCTGGTCTTGCTGTTTAGCATAAGAACAAATAGATGTTTATTGGAAGAATAAACTTCTAACTATTTTGGATTTTTTTTATCACTTCCTTTTATTAGCAAAACCAAATAGGAAGCTGACGTTCCTGTACTTGGCCAATGATGTTATACAGAACAGCAAAAGGAAAGGACCAGAATTTACAAAAGATTTTGCTCCAGTAATAGTGGAGGCTTTTAAACATGTTTCAAGGTACAGTAAACTATGCCATATGCAGTGTAATATATTTAAAAAGGAGGAGGCATTTGGAGAAGTCCTCAGTTCATTTCTTCTGGCCCAGCCTGTTCTCATGTGTTAATTCTGTACTTGAAGCCTTAATTTACTCAGAGTTCTTTTTATCTAGAGTAGTTACAATGGAGATAATTTATTATTATACTTGCATATATCTGCATTCAGTCCTTTTTGCCTTAAAGCCATTAGTCATGACTTTTCAGTTTATATTCATGAGCTACAGATTGGTGTTTTTCATTACTGGTATTGCATGATGTTTCTTTCCCCTAGCAGTTGTAGGAGCAAAATGCTCTCATTGCAGGAGCAAAATGCTAGTCTCAGCTAAACTATTTTAAAATACTGCTTTACAGCCCTGAAGTCTTGGATTGAGGCAAGGCTCTTTAGATAATATTGCATAATAGGGGTACAAATTTATTTACATATTGAACAATCAAGTGAAGAGAATGATTTGGCACGGGGATCTTTTCTTTATGTGTTTGCTGGCATGTCTTGGACTGGTCTTTGTTTAATTTTCTGCAAAATTTGGTTTTGTTGTTTTGTGAGGCTACTGAACTTATGTATTGGTAAAGTATGCCAAGACCCGTGTGTAAAGGGTAATCACTGTTGCAGGTGTGAGTATGTTTTCCTTTGACCTAGTGCTGATTTTCTTTTTTTGTTTTGTAACAGTGAGTCTGATGAGAGTTGTAAAAAACACCTTGGCAGAGTACTCTCTATCTGGGAAGAAAGGTCTGTTTATGAGAATGATGTGTTAGAACAACTTAGACAAGCTTTGTGTAAGTATTCGGTGTATGCATGAACATAGTCTCTTTCCTGAAATGTTATTTCCTTGACTCTTTCATTTCTTTCAATTTAGATGGAGACAGAAAGGTCAGGAAGCGTACTTACGAACAGATAAAAGTTGATGAAAATAACTGTTCACCTCGAGGTTCTCCCACTGATCCTCCACAGGTAAAAGTGTGTTTATAAAATTTTGAAATGTCACATAGCTCGATATAAAATTTTTCATTTGCTCTTATTTCTTAATAGTGTTTTTTTTTCTCATGTCTCTAATGAGATATTTCTTATGGGCTGGATCACTGCTCAGTGTATACAAAATTAGGTGAGGGTGATTACATCCTTATCTTGGGTCCTGGTGGTTTTAATATTCCCTGATAGGATGTAAGATTTCCCCAGTGCTGTGATTAGTTGTACAGTGTCATAAGGAGCAAATGCTATGCTTTTGTCTATCCCAACATCCTTTTTATTGCAAGGTGAGATGGATCATGTGGTTGAATCATTTTATTTCCTGAAGGAACCTTATGCTGGAAATCTTCATTCTTCTGTGAAAAGGCAACTTAACCTTATGTTTTGGTAGTGTGTGGGACCTGTGAACTTTGAAACAGTGTGATTTATATATAAATTCTCACTATTCAATATGTACTTGCAAGGTTTAATATACTGAAATGTTTTGAATAAAATCTTCTTGCTTTGCTTCTTGAAACTTCCATGTTGAAGTTTCATTATGGGTTGGAGCCAGGAAGGAAAATTACAAAAAAGTTAAATAACTATTACTTTTTAAAATACATGGGAGAATGAATGGTACTGGAAAGTGATCATTCATGACACATGCAAGGTTAATAACTAGTCCTGGGGCAAGAATTTTAATGTAAATCTGTTCTTGGGAGGTGACATTTAAAACTAAGAATACAATGTACTGAGAATTAATCTTTATTTTATGTCTTTTACAGTCTGAGAGAAGACAGGGTTACAGTGCCGATATTGTAAATGCTTAAAAGCCAAAATGGGTTCTGTAAGCTTTCTGTGAAGAATTGTTTTGTATTTGATTTTTGTATCAACTAGCTCTCAATCCTGCATGCTTTTTTCAGACAACAGATCTTATTAGAGCATTACAAGAACTAGAAAACGCTGCCTCTGGAGATGCAGCAGTTCATCAGAGGATAGCTTCTTTGCCTGTAGAGGTCCAGGATGTTTCACTGTTAGACAGAATAACAGGTGAGTTCTGGAGAACCAATAACTGAAATGCTGGTATGAGAACTTAGAAACATACAATGAAATCTTGCTTTACGTGTTTCTCTCTGCTTGCCTTTTAGATAAAGAATCTGGGGAACAACTTTCCAAAATGGTAGATGATGCATGTATGTTGCTGGCGGATTACAATGGCAGGTTGGCAGCTGAAATAGATGATAGAAAACAGCTAACTCGAATGTTATCAGACTTTCTGCGATGTCAAAAAGAATTCCTTGCAGAGAAAGAACAAAAGCTGGAAGTGCGTAACATTTTGTTTTAGTCCATTCTTCACTAAAGTTTGAGCTTGTAAATATTTTTAGTTTGTTTTAACACTTTTTTTCTCCAAAGTTAAATATTTAGTCTTCTCTCCAGGGTCTTTGCTTCCAGCACGTCATTAACATGAATTCTGTGACTTTGGTATTCTATAACTATTAAGCAAGTTCAACGTTAGATAGCATTACAGATGTAACAGTTACAATCATTTCAGGATTTGTCTTTCTGTTTTTCCATATGTTCAGTTGTCATTATATAGAGATTTAATTTGACCAGTGCAGTTAGGAAGTCTTACTGTGAATGGTACAAACTTCTCCATGTAGCAGACTTTTTTTTTTATTCATTGATGTCTTAATTATGTGCTATAGGGTTAAATAGTGTCCCTATTTGTGAAAAGACTTCACTGAGAGAGGTGAGTTTTTGAAGCTGCTTTTAAGAGTTTAACTTATTTCTGCATAACTTAACTTGATTCAACTTTCTGTTAAACCTAGTAAGATAAAATTAAATTTTAGATGCTTCAACCTCTAATACAGCTGGTTAGCAGTGTCGTTGGTACTGAGATTGTAGTTTCTTGTCACAGCTTTTAGACATGAGTATCTTGGTATTGCAGGAAGAGAATTGAAGCTGCGTCTTCTTGCAAGGGAAGGTAGCAGCACTGTATTAGTGGACTGTAACTGGAGCATGTGCATGTAGTTCTTGCATGTGCACAATTGCCTTTCAGGTTGCACAGACCTATTATGAAAACTTCACTCCTTTTTCTTTCCCCCTTTTGTAACCTCAGACTTTGATTTAAGCTTTTTAGTGCAGAAAAAATAATGTTCATGGTGTATCTGAAGAGATATGTCAGCTCAATTTAATCATTCCTGGGCTACTCATATTTCCTGACTTGCTTCCTTTGTCCTGTACCTTATAGAGAGGTGATTGATGAAGGTTCTTCCTGCAAAGTTTGTGTTTATCTTCAGTTGAGTTAGAGATGTCTGCCAGCTTCAATTAAAATAGGTGCTGCACAGTGTAGTGATGTTTGCAGAAGCATCTGATTTAATGGCACAATATAACTTGAAAAATTTAAGTTTCTGGTTATTTATCATGCCTCCCCTATTTTTGTGAACCTGTGAGATGTTTGAAGGACAGATTCCTACAGTACTGATGTTGGACTGATTGATTTCAGATATTAAATCTTGTGGTATCAGTGGTATTACATCAGTATAAATCAGTGGTATTAAATCTTGACAGAAATTTTTGACCACAGATGAATAATACAGGGCATTCTGTCTGCACAGAGAGCTAACCATGCTGCTTATTAGGTGACTGTCATAACTCTGCGCTGGGTAAGTAGTGTCGTTTTTGACTATTTAAACTGTTTTCTTTAATGTCTATCTAGCTTCTGTTGCAGGTGGTGGACATGGACATGTCTTCTAATGACGTCACCCTCCATTAGCACACATCCTGCTAAAAATAAATTTCAGAATCAAAATCCTGTATTGTCTCTTGTTTTTGAAAACTGAAGAGGAGAAATTCTGTAACTACCCATACCAAGCCTGTGCTGTTTTCTGCTGTATTTGCACAAACATTACTGAATTTATGCACAAGATAAGCGTTTATCCAGTGCCACTCCTTTCTCTTGGACACGAAAGCTTTCATGTGTTTGATAAAAGTCAAAGTCCTTTAGTTATATGGGATTCCCATTGCAAAAGATTGGGTGCCACTTTCACTAAGTTGCTGCTAGCAAAAGGGGAAAAAGCAGTGAAAACAACACTTTCTAACTTAAAATGCGGATGCATTTTTTAATTGCTGTTAGGGCCCTTTAAAAAAAAAGACTCTTTCAAAATAGCATTTTTCATTTACTCTTTAACAAGGTGAAGTTGAGAGTACTTCATTTGTATCTGGAAGCTTATATCGTAGATGCCATTCTGCCTATTACAGGAAAACAAGCATTGCAGGATGATAGTATGTGTTTGCAGAAAGTGCTTCCTAGAAAACTAGTATCACTTTCTGTCTTCCACTTCTTGCCTCACTGTTCCCCCACTGCCTCCTTCCATCCTCAGTTTTTGAACAAAAAAGTTGGTTCTTTCAACAAATGTTTGTTTTTAAAAACAATCTCATTTTTAATCAAGGCTGGAAAATAGAGCTATTTATGTTGTGCAAGAACAGTATAGCTGTAGACGTATAGCTGTAGACGTATAGCTGTAGACGTATAGCTGT